ATATATATATATATGTATGTATGTATGTATGTATATAGTGTTCACACCGCGCCCAAACTGTCAGTACTGTACTCCTTCTGTCGTCTAATCTTCGGCTGAAGTGTCCTGCCCATGTCCATTATTTGTTTTTTCATTATTTCCATTATGTCTGTAACTTTCTGTAACTTTGGTTTGGTTCCTCGTCGATGTGTTATTTGTATGGTTTCTGAAAGTGATATTCAGCATGCTACGTTTCATATCGTGTTGTGCTGCTGCAAGTTTTTTTTAAAATATATTATTAATTAATTAGGAATTATTGACTTTATGATATGGATTACTTATGAATTATTTTATATATTATGAATTATTTATAATCTCGTTAATCAAATATGATATATAATTAATATTGAATAATATTGATTATATTTCATGAATATTAGAATTCATAATTATTATATATATGAATTATGAATTGTTGATTATATAATACATAATATGATACATAATTAGTTATTTATTCAGATAATTATGTATTATTACATTGATTATTAATTTCATAAATTTTGTTAATTTTTGTTTGCGCCTTAAAATTGCTGGGGAACGGTGGGTGGTGCTTGGTTTTATCTGCATTGTTTTTGTGTGTGTGTTTTTTTGTTTGTTTTTTTTTGGGGGGGGGGTTTCACTTTCCAGATTTCTTCTGTTAGAGGTATTTTATCGTCACAGTATATTAGTAATAGGCATAATACAAAAAAAAATCTAATCTTCAAGAAATAGCGCTATATAAATGATGTAATGTATGTATGTTCTTACACTATTTATTGATAATTAATTACGGTATATGATGAATAGAGGAATTTATTATTGATAAACAAATAAACTATTTTTATATCTCGACCCACTCGAGATGTTTACATCTGTCAGCATTTTTATGCCGACAATATTTTGAAAGTGCCATGAGTCCCACGAGTAAACTGTTAATGTTATTTGAACGGTTCAGCTGTAGGCCTAGCAGTGTTTGCTGAATAAAGCTCACTCATCGAAATGTAACTGATTCTGTCCTGTGATATCGTTATTATTATCGTCATTATCATCGTCATCCTCATCATCATCTTCAAGGTCTTAATCATCATCCTCCTGTTCATCGTCATTTTCATCACGATAATAATTTCGGTACGTCATTCTATCAATTCAGCGATGGCTAGTGAGGACGCACTCCAACCTATTAACGATAAGTAAATTCTGGATATAGCCATTTCATGTTTGATTTTTTTTTATCTCATGTTTATTTTGCCCTCTATTTTTTGATGACGTATACAATATGGCATCTATGTTCTCTATTTAGTTGTGATCACCGTTTAGCTGCGTAATTATTGTTATTTCTTATGTTTGCAAGCGCTAACTTCAAGATTTAAAAAATGAATATAATTACTTTACACAAATAATTATATTTACTATAATAATCAATTCAATTGATTATTTAATTATGAATGTATTAATGAATTATGAATAACTATGAAGAAATAAACCGATTTATATAAATTTTTCAATTACTATATTGAATAATAGTTTTATGAACCTATTATTACATTTTTTTCGTGTTAACTTTGATGGGATTGGGGGCGAGTTTCCCTACATGAGCAAAGTGGGCGTGGTCGGGCGCCGCTCAAAATGTTTCGAAAGTGGACCAGGGCGAAGAACCCGAAAAATATGAAAATTTAGGTGTTTAAAAGTTGTATTTAATCAATTTTATAGATAGTCTAATAATATGTCAAAAATACATATAATTTTATTTCTCCCCGACTCATTGTGGGTTTTCTCCACCGGCGGGGCGGGGAGGAGGAGGGGAAGCTCTCCCGAAGCAACCTCCCCGACTGACGCCAACCCTGCAATTCTGTAAAGTAAAAGTAGCAGTTTTGAGATTAGTTGCGATATTTATTGAATTGAATAATATAATATCATACTAAAAAGAAATAAGGTGAGTCTCCAGCTTGGTCTCTACAGACAAAAGGAACTTAAAATTTATGATCAAAAACATGTTACGATGTTTAACTTCGTATATTAATTCCAGCATAAATCCGCTAAAGATTCTAGTTTTGTGTTGTTAAAGCTATTTTTATACTTGTAATTTAATTAATTAACCATTACTGTTGTTTTTCTGTGATAGTAGTTTTTTTTACAACTTTTGCTACTCATATTTTATTATTTTTCAAATTGATCAAAATTTTATCATATTTAATATTTATTTCAATTGGGATACAAAATTTTAAACAATTATGGTGTTTTGTCAGATTTATACAGTTTTTACTATGAAAGTCTCTAAACAATTTCCCATTAAATTTTTATTATGAAAATAGTCCCTAATATAAAAGCAAATTATATTTCTGTTAGAAAACAATGAGATTTTTTTTTTGTGATTTTTTTACATTAAAAGCTAAAAAATTATATTGTTGTATTCCATCATATTAGGGCAACAGAGACTGACATCATGAGGCTATTTATTTGTTATTAATTTTATGGCCAATTTTGCAAAGTAGTAGTGTGTTCACCAATGTAAGATTATTTAAGCAACGAAAAGCTTCCTTTAGTATAGCGCAGGAAAATCAACAACTCAGTGTTTAGTGAGCCCGAAGGACAGTAACAGTCTCCTACTAATGCGATGTCTACAGTCAACTCCACATTGGAGGGCTTTGTTGCTGCTGGTCTCAGCCATTCACTGATGGAAATAGTCATCTCCAGGTCAGTACTATTACAAATAGGTTCCGCCTTAGTTATCCTACGAAGAACTGGACGAACTAATAAAAGAATAAAAAAATCAAGAATTTCAAATCAGAGTCATATGATTAGCCAATTGTTTGTAATCACTAAAATAATAATATTAATAATTATAATTATACTATCATATATTCTATAATATATATTTTCTATAATATATAATATGTACTTTAATATATATATATTATATATATTAGGCCTATATAATATATATATAGCAAACTTGATTTGAATATTATTTAATATATATATATATATATATATATATATATATATGTATATATATAATTCAAATGAGCTATGCTGCGCAAAACCGTGAACACAATATATACAAATATATAAATAATAATACCAGTGCTTAAAATAGGAACGTGATGTTATAATCGTATCAAGCATAGCCCTTCAACGAAAAGTTCCTTTTTAGTTCAGTTATATGAAAAAATGTCTCTGGCGGGATTCCAACATGCGACCTCTCATATCCATTGAGATCCATAGAATATACGTGCAGATTTAACCCCAGGCACTTTCTCTCATACAACTGACTAAAACGCTCACACATAGTGGAGCTACAGATAAGCTAGAAACATATACGGTATTAAAAATAAACTCTGAACAATCTTGCGGTAATGCTATAACTATATATAAATTTTGAACATTAAAGAAAGGAATCTGCGAGTAGGAAGAAAAGGTTGCCTCAACCGTGATTGGAATCAGAGACCTTCTGCTGTCTATATAAAGACGCCTACCTCCAGATCTTAACCAACTGGGTCATTGAGGCTTTGTTGGGATTTCAAATCACATTAGAGCAACTAATTCTTCGCACTCTTGCGCATGTGTAGTTGGACATCACTAGTCTTTGATACATGGCAAATAACAGAGATCAATATATATACCTCCATCAATACCCTTTCTTATAAGCATTTGGCAACAATAGGCCTATAGGATCTCCGAGTATCTAACTTTTTTGTTAAATAATAGATAAACTCTAAACAATATTGCGGTAATGTTTTGATTAAGCTGTATGATTTATTGTAATTTCACTGTTCCCTGATAATACATATATGTATATATACACAAGTTTTTACAAACGTTTACGCAGTGGTTTTTTTTTTAAAGAACTTAGTAACAATATGAAGCGGAACGGTCCCTTTTATACATCATTGCATTATCATTGCCAGTAGTGAATGTACCTTAGGTTTAATGAAAGAGAAACAAATATATTTCTGATATCTTAAATTTAATATAAGTTATGCTGTCTTCGGGCCTGGACATAAAGTATGTGGGCATATTTCAAACCCATTATTACAAACTTTGTCAAACATTTTGGATCAGTAACATTTACATTATCATCAGTTGCGTGACAGAGAGGCCTGATGCCCCTGGCTAGGTCTTTTTAGCGCCTTTCTAATATAGAGCCTAGAGGTCATGTATAGGGCCACAGTGGGATACGAGCGAAATTTTAAGGGCGTATTTAATGTTTTCTTCACCTTCTGCTTATTAATTAACCCACTTGGTCGATTTGGGGCCCATTGTCTTAAAAAAATTGTTAATTAATTATAGGCCCGGCCCCTAGGTGTGAAGAACTCATAACTGTTACGCCACTGATTATTATTTCAAAAACTTTCTAATCAGTTGACAAACACAAGTGTAGGTATACATTGCATAAATTAGAACAATAGAAAATAGGGTAACATACCTTTCCTCGATTTTAATCTCCGTTTCTCCCGAAGATTGTGGGCTTTCATCAGGTTTGTTGCTTTCATCATCGGAAGAAGAAAATGCTGCAACAAAAAATAAACATTGCTTAAAAATTGAATCAGCAAAACAAAACAAATTGCTGTCGATATATAGGCCTATCTCCCTGGATATATTGTGTATGTTAGGCATATGGATATACAGTGTCGTATCTAGAAGGTGCCACCCCCACCCAAAATTCCTCGGTTCCCTCACCCAGTACCTCTGTCCCCATACCCTAGTCGCCCCCGCCCCAAAATAAATCACGCTTAAGTAGTTAAAAATCACCTCAAATCACCATATTGTTCTAGCTAGCGTCCCTCACCTAATCATCGAGCCCTAATAATAATGGAAAATGTACCCTATGATATGAGAATATTTGCCATTTCCTTTTATTCTGCCAAGTACCCTAATACATATCATTATACCGGTACGCACTGACGAAATTTCGAAATTGCAAGGAGAATTACATGACAACTTAGAATTATAAGACATTTATTAATGCAAACAATGACTTAAAAATATATACTTTTTGGGCTGTTCATAATTCTTAGCAGAAAATATTAAAATATCTTCGACAAGTTGTGCAAAAGATATACATAAAAAAAACCCGAAAGCTCCGCAGTGAGTTGCTGAATTGTAATAATTTGTCTTTAAGTTTTGTGTTTCGGATGCACCCACCATTGATTCTCAAAGTGTGTCACTGCTATAAAGGTGTAAGTCCAAATAATTAGTACTATATTATTATCAGATAAACATCACGACAACGGAACAAACCATTTCATGGTATTAATCCTACTGATTAATGATTTTTTTTTATTTCCGCTACCTGTACTTGGGCTGTAATAATTATTAATGGTTTTTTTTTTAGTTAGGCTTTTTTATACGTTATTGAAGATTTATTTTGAATATTATTATTGATTTATTATATTTTTGATATATTTATTTACGTATATTTGTAATTCCTATATCCCTTTTCTTGACTTTGTGTATATTTTCTTTGTGGTTCTGTTCTGGAGGTAAATCCGACCTCAAAATAACTCCTGAAGGGAGAGATTAACAGGATCAAAATAAGTATATTATAAAAGATAAGACTTAGGCCCATATCCATAGAGGAAATTCTCTATAGTAAAACAGACATCAAATAGAAAACTGGAAATTTGAATTTGAACTACTGTCTGCATGTAAAAATGAACTAAACTTACAATTCAAATTTAGTAACCCTTCTTCAGAATCTGAAAAAAAGAGGATTTTTCTTACCAAACTAATAAAAGTAGATATTTTTCTTAACTTTTTTACAGATACTTCATTTTCTAATTACATTAGGTCTATTTAAACCTAGAGACTAGATATAATAATTATTTAGTAATATTATATTTCATTAAATTTCATTAGATTTAAATATTTACAAAATTACATTAATTATAATTACTAAATTAATTTTATAAATTATATAAGTAATAAGTAATGTATGGTCCTCCACCAGACTGTTATCATATAATAAATCATAAGTTATGGTATATTATAAATATCATATATACATACTTACCAACACACCCTACTGGGAAGTCTTTATCCCACTCTTCATTTTCACATGTTACTACGAGTTCCACGTCTGATGTAGTGGGTATATAGTAACCGTCATCACAAATGTATAATAATGTATTGCCTTGCCTTCTGACAATACCATTCCATAATGTTAATGGAGGAGGTGGACATGTTGGTTCTTTACCTGATAAGCAAACATGAAAATGAAGTGAGTTATAACTACCATGTGTATAATAATTTAATGCAGTGGGACTTGATTAAGTGCAAAAAAGAAAATAAGTATTTCAAGTACCGTAAACCCTCAAATAGAAGCTCAATGGATTTAATCGAGAACAAGCCGACCTCAAAAAATGCCCTTCTTTAATCTGCAAAAGTAATCTCGAAAAGAAACTTATCTTGAAAAGAAGCCAAATGCCGTATAGTAGCAATTCCAAATATTTACAGCATTCATTTGAAAAGAGACCCCCTATTTAGTTTGCAAAAGTAATCTCGAAAGGAAGCCCACTTAGAAAAAAAATCCCATCTCGAAAAGAAGGAAATTCAATATTCCTAAAAAACAAAGAAGCCCAGCTTCTATTCAAGGTTTTACGGTACCCTGCCTATACAACTCCTATTGTAACCATGCAACTAATGATGAAATCTAGTGTGTACAAACTGCAGAGGTATTCTTTCATCCCAACACACTTCTTTTCTCTTTGTATAGATCAGTGGTTGGGACCACTATCTCTACTGATCATTTTCTAATTTGGCGCATAATATTATTTTTATTATCGTTATTAAAATAGTTGAAAAGAACTTGGAATGGACCTTTCCGGCATGACAATCAAACTTACTAACTGACAGTGTTCTACAGCGCTACATTTTTTTACGCTATCGTTTTACGGGACCATAGCAACAATATCCAAGGAGCGTGTCTTAGTGGAAAGGTCGGCTGTTGTACACATCAGTAGTAAAAGTTCTAGTAAAAAGTACTGTTATTACTGATCAGACATTAGCTTATATTGTCCTACATACATGATGATGGGAATGGATGATCCCATTTTCCATCAACGCAACGAATGGTGGTCCTGGTATCGTTAGTTCCTGTGACAAAGGCGTCTTTATTACAGATTATTGTCACGGATGTTCCATTTGTGTCATCTTTCATTACAATAAAGCCATTTGCAATGTTTACAGGCACATTTTCACATTTAGTTGCTATAAAAATAAATTAAGTACAATGTTTATAAAAGGGAGATTATGTAAATACAAAGAATACGTATTATTACTATTATTAATATTATTATTAATATTATTATTATTATTATTATTATTATTATTATTATTATTATATTTTTATCATTTTTGTTTATATAAAATCTGTATATTTTTAATTTCTGCCACTGCCGTGTTTATTGTCGCATTCATTGGCACCTTGTACCTACAGCTGTGCCTTGTAAGCAATACCGTAGCCAGGATTTTCAAAGAGTGCGGGACAATATCAGGGTGACCCACTTTATGCGTAAATTCAAATAATGTGGACCTATTTTACGCAGAAATATGAAAAATCTGGACTCATTTTTTTTAAAAGTTTACACATTTTAAAGTTTACTCATTTATGCATAAAACTGCATAATTTAGACCGATTTTTAAAAATGTGGACCCATTCTTTATGGACCCATTAGAAAAATTGTGTGGGACTGTCCCAACTGTCCCAATACGGCATTGCTTGTAACATAGTAATGAAATAAATACAAATATGAGTATGAATGTTCTAATTATTCAATCAATTCAAAACATACGTTTTGTCCATTTGTAAACAAACTGACAGAAAATATGAAATGCACCGTCATTGTTATCATCAGAAACTCATCCACTTTAATGCTTTGATATTGCTGAAATGTACAGCATTTACACAATTAGATGAAGACAAATCAAGTGCAATATTACGGTTTTTTTACATTGTCCTGTCTTCGGATTACTTACTATTTTTACAATCCGAAGGTAAAGCTGGCACCCATTCTCCGTCTGTGCATACGCTTTTAAGCTTTCCTTCCTCCGTGCCTGGTATATGAAAACCAGTTTCACAGTAAATTCCAATTTCTGTATCCATGGCATTTCCACTTCCTATTACAATCCCATGGTCAATGTCCAATGGTGGACTTTCACACGACAAAGCTGCGAAACGTAAGTACAGTAGTTAAAACTGAATTTACAGGGACTCCAGCGATAAAACTAACATCTAGTTTAAAACAATCTAGTGATGTAAAGCTGGATTTCCATACAATCGCTACACGTTATCGCCTACAGATTTCAGTGTTGCTGATTGGTCGGTCGAATAATTACGCTAGGCTAAAGTTCGCTTGTTCGCATTTTTCCGCTTTGCAACAAAAAGTAGAAACAGGTCTAACTACTGATTTCGCTGAAGCAAAACACTCCGTTAGCAATGTGAATGTGCATGAACCAACGCGTTTGATTTGCGCAAATAAATAGTTGAACATTTTAAACAAATTACACGTAGTATAGCAATAATACTTTGGTTGCCTATTTAATATTATTTTGCAAAGGATAGTTTTAAACAAATTGGTGATCCGCTTCTCGTAGTAATTATGATTATCATTATAATGACTGTATATAAATCAAATTGATATAGGTAGGCCCTATGTTGTTTAATAAAACTGTAAATGTATACTTACACATACAATGCGGAAATTCAAAATCCCAAAGTCCATCATAAAGACATTTTAGCTTAGTCTCACCTATCAGGCTGTATTGTTGGGGGCAAAAATATGTCAACTCTGCATTCAGTGGAAACTTGATACCATCAGCGATTTTTGAATAAATAAAATGTTCAATATTAGAAGTCGGTGGAGGTGAGCAGTAAATAGCTGAAATACGAAACACCGCACATCTTAAAATAATTCCTAAAAAAACATTGGCTTATACACAAACTAACATTTTGGACGATGTATACTTAATAATTATATATAAGTGTTATATAAATGCTTACGGTATATTATCATTATTATTTTTAACTTTTTATAAAAGTGAACATAATATTAATGAAGAATAATTTTCATATCAAAAGTTAGCTAAAAGGATCTGCTAGATAATCATGTCTCATTGTATAGCAAATCAAACTCATTTCATATTGATTATATTTATTTTTAATTTTGTTCCTTTCAGCATATATACGATGACAGGAAGCATGGTACTAAAGGGGAGAAAGAAAGAAACTCATCTTTCAGAATAAAATATAGGAGTGTATAGAAAATTAAGAAGGTTCATGTGAATTTAGGCACCACTTACTTTTAGATAATATTTTTAATGCATACCAGAATATTGAAATTTGTAACATATTTGATAACCATTGTAAAACATGTTTAACAAAATCAATGACTGAAAGAACTGAACTAATGAAAAACATTACCACCAATATTTAAATTTTATGTTATTTACTATACTTATAAACTTATATTTGTTGTCATTTTTATTTATTTATTTACTTTATATTCTTTAATTGAATTCTATATTTTTTTTTCTTTCTCAATATCTTTTTTTGTAAATTAAGTTATTCCTTAATTACTACAGAATAATGAGAGTAACATTTCTTTTGCTTGTCCAGTATTTTTTCTTTACTCATTTATCTTTTCAATAATCAATTTTTATATATTGTCAGTTGTTGTTTTGTAACTGTTGTACGGGTCGAACCTCCCCTGCGCGAGAGTGTTCCTCTGTTATAAAAGAGAGAACCAATAGATCTTATCTTATCTAAGTATATAAAATAATAATATAATAGTGATCAGTATTGTCCAAATACAGTGTATTGGTTCAGTAAATTACACACATCGCGATCTGTGTTAAAATGTCCCCTCATTATAGCTATGTCCATGAAGATGACCCTTTAACTTTAACTTTACGTGTATACAGTGCATAATGGTTTGTTCAACTACGTTATGCTAAATAACATTGCAGTACACTCTGATTATTTTGAAATAGGAGTCGATGTATGTAATACTTACGATCAACCACCCGAACCTCCACTTTTATAGGCGGGGCGTCTTGGTTGTCTTTATCCCAGCAGGTGTAGATTCCAGAATGTTCAAGTGAGTCAATTACATAATATATCTTCTTTGAACCAATCAATATTCTATCTCCATGAACCTGTAGTTGAGTGCTACCAGTAAAAGGCTCAAAACGAAGCTCAGCGTCATCTTTGACTCCACATTCAACTTTTAGTTTTGCGCCCTCCTCAATATTCATGATATAGGAACTGTTCGGTGCAACTTGACGTGGGAGCGTTTTGTACTTTCCATATTTAACAAATCGAATTCTATTGTCTAACCAATCTGGTAAATCAAATTGAAGGCAATGACTTGATAAAAAGTAAGAGTATCTGATATAATTCATGATGAATTCTTTCATTCTTTCATTTGTTTATTCATTCGTTCATTCATACATAGGCCTACATTCAGTCATCCATTCACTCATTCAGTAATTTTCTAAATCAACATACAAAGGAATTCGTTCTAACCATAGCCTCTCTTTCCCTAGGCCGCACCTAGGCTAGATTATTAAAGAAACTATACTAAATTGAACAATAAATGATTAATTGAATGAGAAGTTGACAAAGAGATTAATATAGATTAAAAGCCAAAAAAGTGAGCACAATTAATCGTGCAACCTATGTCTCACATTTTGATGTATGATTTGCGTTTGACCAATTTTGATGTCATTTTCCGTATTTTTTTAGTTGCCAATATGCTGTTTTGTTTTTTCATATTATAGGCCTATCATATTTCTATTTTTTGTTAATTGCAATGTAGGCCTGGCCCTGGAATATTGAATGAATATACCTCACCAATGTAAGTCATAATCAAGCTATTATATTTTTTTTCAAGAATGGTTTAAACAAAATATATGCAAAAGTGTCAAATTGTGCACAACAGATACACAATTATTTAACCGTGACGACTAATGTCCTTGTCCTTCCCATGATTTCGACAATGATTCAATTTTTTGTTGTAGTATTTGTAGTGTCTTGTTACTTCTTGTTACCCGTGTACAAAGAAAACGTTACAAAAGTGTATTGTTACCAACATTCATTATTTATATTTCTGGTGGTACCAGGCTTAAAGTCTGTAATTTGCTTATATGAAATCTCTAGATATGAATGCATAAACCTATTCTATGCTATTCTTATTTGTAATAAATGCATTGGGCCTATGTGAACAAAATGGAATTGAATTGAACTAGCAGTGCAGATTCGAACGATATAGGCTTATAGTCAATCTGTACGCCGACATACCCCTCTATCTTACGAGTACAGATGTATTGTAAAATGTGAACTAAGCATATCACGTAGTAACTTCAAATTTAACTTGTATCATATTATTTGGGTGACGTAATAGACCTGTTCAATCATTTGGCGCGCACATAGACGCGACGGTGTTCGCTCCTTCTATTTGGTTATAACAACCTGCATAGTTTCATTTCATTTATTTTGTCTCAATAAAATACACAAAAACAAAAGCCGGTTAGAATACAAAATAATATAAGCATAACACATCAGAAACAGGACGAGTCAGGATTACTAAAATTGGACCAAATCACTATCTAGTGGGTTTCCTGGTGCACTATTCCGATTACACAATAAAATGTACAATTAATAAAATTTAAAATCTGTAACATTAAAAAACCAATAAAAATTTGCCTGAATAATAGATATGAAATAAGTATAGAACTTATTGGAAATATAATAAATCCCTAGTTTTTACAGGTAGGGTACGGTTCCTCTCAAGAGCGTGGGGAAAAAAGATGAAACACAGAATATTTTAAAAGAATTTGTTCTAGCATATGGGTGTATTTCGATGTATGTTTGTACATGTGGGTGTATTTAAGATGATCACCGTGGCTAGAGTTGATTGTTATATGCCATTAAAAGTATCCAAATTAACGAACTACTCTTATACGTAGGTTACATATCAAAAGCTCAGATAGGCCTATTATTGTCGTTGGCAAAAGATAAATGGAGTTAAATATTTTTGACGCAATAATAATCTCATGGCATTTTGAAAATAATTTAACACTGTTTTAAGATTAGCTGTACATTTTATTTCTTACAAGCATTCGTAAGCAAACTAATATTACGCCATGAAATATTATAATTCATAATTCATAATAACATTTTACTAAAAACTCAAAACGTAATGAGTCTGGTAGGCAAAAAAGGGAACATGTCCCTGTGAAAGTTACCTACCAGAGAAACAATAATAAGCATAATGGCGAAAACATAATAATAATAATAATAATAATAATAATAATAATAATAATAATAATAATAATAATAATAATAACAATAATATAATAATAATAATAATAATAAAGATAATAATAAAAAATAATCAGAGCAATAATAAAAATAATAATAATAAATGAGAGATTAACATCAATAACGATATAATTGTAGTGAATTAAATTATAATGATACAATTATGAAAAATAAGCAAAAGTGGAACTTACTACATGTAGCTGGGAACCCTGTCCAACTTCCATCCGTACAGACTCTTTCTCCTCCATTAATGAGTTGATATTTACCGATATCATAGCACCGCGTTATCAGTATGGTCCCAGAAGGGAACTTGGTGTCCAAATGAGCCACCCTGTCCAAGTCATATCGGTAGTTGACATTTACTACAGTGTTTACGTTGATCGTTGGCATTCCACAGTCTTCTTCGACAGTTATACTTGATGGAGTTGTATCTGCTTGTTTTATTGACACAAAACATTCAAAGGTTTCATTTTCAATATTTATAGTATAAGGAAAATATATATTTTTTCCCTTACTGTAGAGTCCATTTAGACACTAGAATCTAGATAAGTGATAAAATCTTTGTATTAGAGTAATTTTTAGTAGACTACGGGATACGTTGGGTCCTTTAACACTAACAGAGGCCTAATTCATGGAGTAGAAAAATGATTGAGTCAGTTAGGCTGTAGATTATATAATGATATTTACTGCATAGGTCATAAAGCTTTAGACTTGGAAAGCAATAGTTTATCTTTAGTCCATAGGATTTTCACCTCCTTCATTTCATTAAGAAACGCACTTCATCGTTATTCCTTATTTTAACATGAATAATGACAATATAATGGCAATAATGTTACTGCCATGTGAATGTATAATCGGTGCTTCACAGTGATGTTTTATGGTTTTATACTGATATGATTAGGAGTAAACTGCTCTAAATACTGTAGAAAGTTTATATTTCTTTTGATACTAAATTGTTAACTTGTTTAATTGTATTCACATACAATTAAAAACCATGGAATTAGTTAATTGATTAAAGGAACCTAATCTCAGGCGTTATATATCGTGGTATAAACGGAGGGTTAGCTTTCTGCTGTATGATTATGCCTGTTTGTTTAGTGAAGCATTCGCTGACTTTAAAGCTATTATTTTGTGTTCTTTAACACTTGATGTAGTATGAACTTAATGTTTATAAAAAGCTTTAATACATTCGTTATTATTATTATTATTATTTTCGATGTTAAATATTGTAGAACATGTTTCTTATTAGAATTTAGATATAGTTCATAGTTACCTTGACGTTTAATAGTACAGTTAATGTTGAAACTTTTACAAGCATTATCTTGACAAATGATTACCAACTGACCGAACGGAGGGTTATTGTATTGTAGTGTACTTGCGTTGCACTAAGATCAGCGATTAATTAGTCTGTATATTTAAGCTTTATGCACGATAGGCTTATTATTATTTAATACAGTTGATCATTGATTTAGAACATATCGCAATATACCCTGTATTAATTATTCAAGTTCTCAATACGTTTTAGTATTTTAACATTAACGGTTTTTTAACGTGTCCGATTTATCATATTTGATACTTTAATTCTGTTGCTTTAATAATTTGTTTTGATTCGATTATGATATGTTTAAACGTGTCATCATATTGAGAACACTGTCATTCTATCACATATTGTTGCCGAGTCATAATCTTCATTATCATCTGAGAAAACTAATCAATAGTTTTCCCTTTAAATCCATTTATACAGATACAAGAATTAAAGTTTGCTATCAAAGTTTTACAAGTCAAGCGAAGTCTGTATTATTTTAGTGTGCAACAACGCGAACAAACGCCCCCACGGTAGATCGTATCCATCAACTGCAGAATAACCGTAACATTATTATTATTATTATTATTATTATTATTATTATTATTATTATTATTATTATTATTATTATTATATTATTATTATTATTCTTTAAATATTATTCAACTATTATTCTTAAGTTATTATTATTAGTTAATTCTTATTTAAATTTATCATTTAAGGCTTCAATATAAAGAGATATTCACACGTTGAGGTCCTAATTCCACTTCTTTTAATGTTTTTTTTTTATGTATCACTTTAGGCTTATACCTGTCTCTTATACACATCTATATACTATGTTTAAATTTTATAATATAATAAATTTAATATTTAAAAAAAAAAAAACACTCGAATAAAAGCCCTGGGGCGTTTATTGTTGAGAGTGGCTTTTGAAGGAATGTTTATTCGAGGGAAGCGTTATTGTTTATTCGAGGGAGAAGTTTATTTTGTTTTGGTGTAGAATGGATACCGGTACGTAAAGCTCCAATAAACGCCCCTTAATTTCATTATCATAACTGTTTTATATTTCAACTCACATCGTTATTAAAGAACATCTACATGCAAGCACAAACCCGCATTCATCGTTCTTGAGTACTCCGTGTGCGGCTAGATACCGTTTATATTATTTATATGCTCACATGACCATTAGCAGTTTATATAACCAACACGAAGTTGATAACCAGTAGAAATTTAAAGAAATTTATTCAATTAAGTTCGACATTTTTTTGTTCTGGATCACATAGCATAATGTGCAATTTAACGCCCTGAAACAAAATCGTTAACCCATGGTGAATTAGCTGAATTGTAGTTAAAATAATTATACAACTTACCCATCACGACATAAGGGATAAATAGACATATCAATATGTAGATTAACCGACGCATTTTGCTTCCAAACGTCCTGAAGCTCCTGGGTCAAGTGAGAACTAGAGAACGATGTTTTATTATTATCCATAAATTCTTGAAGGAAATTATACCGGACATACAGTACACGTATTCTAACTGATCATAAGGTTTAACAATGTTAAGGAGTGTCTTTCACCTTCCGGATTTCAACTGCTAATGTTGGAATTAAGATTGTCTGAATGTTGAATACAGTTGATAAAAAAATATTGATGTTCATTTCCTTGTGCATTCATATGGAATATAAAAGAATGATATTAACAAGAAAAATGTATAAACTGATTAAATGTACTACTGTCATTGTGTTATAATCCTAGAAATTTGTAATCAACAACAGTTTTTGGGATGGGGGTTAACATTTATGCTCATAACTCATGATTTACTCAATGGATTTGTATGATGTTGGTATCAACATTTAGCCCATAGATTGGTCAGTCATTCATTACATTCTGAATTCTAAATTATAACAACCATGGCTAAAATGAGTGCCATCCCATATCTAAATTCTCAATTGAAATGAACTTATTTAGAAGCCCTTTAGCACAATATTTTATTTGCCGAGTTATTTGTCTATTTTTTACATGACCATTTTTTTGGGATTTTTTCCATTTATTTATAATCAATTTACACTCTTATTATTATTATTATTTTTTTTAATAGTTTGGGCATACAAAACATTATTTCAAAACATTAAATGAAAAAACATTTAAATAAGGGCGAAAAATAAAAGAAAAACCTACTGTCATAGCCAAGGAGAGACCAAATAGTAAATCCCGCCAGAATTTGTTTTCATACAACTGAAATAAAGAAACTTTTTGTCGATGAGCTATGCTTGATACGATTATTACAACATGTTGTTATTTGAGCACAGTATAATATTGTGTTTAGAGTATATCTCTTCTCGTGTAATATTCTTATATAATAAAACATCTTCGGAGATCTTGTCTTATTGTTGATGCTTAAGAAGCGGGCGTCTTTATTTTAAACTGTTGGGTTGTTTGGTCTCAAATATTTCATTATGTACTTCATTTCATTCGTATGCTTTTTAATACAGGAATTCGTTATATATACAATATTGACCAAAGGGCGCGCGTCTGTGGGCCTCTCGGGGACCTTAACTTGAAAATTGTTGGACCTTTCCTCCCGTTGGCAATACATGTTACTCCTCTTTGTTTTTAGATGCGTTGTTGAACTTGCTCCTTCGCTAGTCCATGACTCATTTTGCAAGAAATTGAAGTAACCTCTTGGACTTTTTTCTTGTCTATTACACTGTGGATTTTGTAAGGTTTTATGTGAGAGGGCTCCCCTGAAAATCAGCCATGCTGAGCGGAACTTCCTGGTCAAATATTAATAAAGAAAGAAAGTGTATCACATTGATCTCTGTTAGTTTACGGGTGTGCTTCGAATACTAGTATTGTATCCGCATACTGTAGATTGTGAAATCAATTTCTTCAAATCGGATTAGAACTTCCAAACATGGAGGAATAAAACTATTTTATTCCTCCATGTTTCAACAACGCCCAATGGCTCAGTTGGTTTAGGTGTTCGAGCAATGTGATTATTATTCATTCGATTGAACTCTTATTTGAATAGTATTTACTATTTCCAAACTTCATGTTCCATTTCGAGTTCTGTTATTATTTATCCATTAGTTTATGTAGGCCTATATATATAGGCCTATGTATATATATGTATATATGTATTTATATATATATATGTATATATGTATGTATATGTGCACGTATCTATGTATGTATATATATATATATATATATATATATATATATATTTATATACATACATATATATATATATATATATAATTATATACATACATATATATAAATGCAAATGGGAAAAACCCATAAAACAGCAAACGGCCATATAATGCAAAACAATTTAAAATTAAAATTAAAACGGAACAGTAGAGAAAATCCGATCATAATGACAAAATAAACTAAGCATCCACTGGAAGAAATCCCAATATCTGCAGACGGATCCGTTTCGGCCTTCCAGGCCTCATCAGTGCAGCTAGGGTACAGACCCAAACGAAACGTTCGACCAGCTTAGGTAGGGCCCAAACTAGTTCCACAACCACTAATGATTACAGAGCCAAACCAAGGCAATATATATACACAGCCCAGGTGTGAATGCAAATAGTGGAATACAAGCTATGCGGCTCTGTTCCAGTAGATACAGAGAATATTTTGTCATTCTTAACGCGTCCTACAAAATTCTTACGAGACAGCACTAAAATTAAAATTGTAAAATTGTGA